CCCCAGCAATGTGAAGCAGGAGGCGGGGGGTGGGGGTGGATGTGCAGGCTTTGACACCGAGGGTGGTCAGCGAGACAGGGCCCAGGGGCCGGTGTCCCCTCCCCGGTCCCCAGCCCCGGGATGGGGCAGGAGATGCTGGAGGGGGATGGACCCATCCTGATCCAAAAACTGGTGCTGGCGGCAGCTTCCAAACTATACAGCACTAATACTCTTTCCGTTGAAGACACGTTACTCCACCAAACGCTACAATAACAATGTTAAAAAAAAAAAAAATTTAAAATAAAATTATGGCATAATATATGTGAGAAGCACCCAAAATACATTCAACTTTCATCTTTGTAACAGCTTCAAGTTTTTTTTTTTTTTTCTTCTCTTTCTTCCTCCACCCTTTTTTTGGAAGCAAACGCACAAGGCAGCTTTGTCCCGGGTCTGAAAACTCTTAAAAATCTCTTTTTCCTTTTCTGAGAAGGTAAAAAGAGTTTTTAAAAACACATTCTTCTTTTTTTTTTTTTCTGAGGTAATTCTTTTCCTGAGTAGTTAAAAAGAAAAAACAAACAAAAAAAAATACTACATACCTTACAAAAATAAAAACCCAAGTCTAGTATATTAAACAATCTACAGCATTTTACTCCAACCCCCCCCCGTATTTCTGTTAGGAACAATAAAAGCAATCAATAAAAATAATCATCGAGCCTCTGGGTAGACGGGGGGAGCTCGTGCATCTGACGCCGGACCCCGTGACGCCTCCGGCCCCTGGTCCAGGGACGGATGAACGGGAAAATAATAAATAGGTTATCCTGAGTTCCGTGGGCGACGGCTGCCGAAAATCCAAGGAGAGGAAGAGCCTGGCCGAGTCCAAAATGGTAACGAGGAGGGAGGTGGTGCTGCCATCGGGGTCTCCTGCACTTGTGGGGGGTGGGGGGTCTGGCCCCGGCACGGCTCCATGGGAGAACCAGCGACCTCCAACCCAGCCCCTCCAAACCCTCCAGGCGTCAGCCAAGTCCCCAGAGCGACCTCAGGGCCTCGGGCTGGGGCGAAGGGTCCGTCCCTGCCCCCCGATGCTGCGCCGTCAGTGCCTGGTGCCGTACATTTTATCCCACTCCAGGAACAAGTCCAGCTCCTTCTGGGAGGCAGCGGGGCGGACCTTGCAGAAGGCCTTCTCAAAGTCCTGGTAGGAGGTGGGCTGGATCTGGCCCGGCAAACCGTGCAGCGTGGTGGCCCCGGCGTGCTGGCAGAGCTGGAGCAGCTCACTGCCCGAGAAGCTCTCCGTGTGCTGCACCAGGGAGGCCATCTCCCGCTCGCTCAGGCAGGAGCTCTGCTGGGTTAGGGCGTGATGGAGGATCTGACGCCGGGCGATGCTGTCGGGCAGGGAGATGTAGAACCGTTTGGCAAAGCGCCGGTGGGAAGCTTCATCTATGCTGCCAGGCCGGGAGGTGGTCCCAATGATGACCACGTTCTGCTCGGATGAGGTAGCCACGTTGTCCAGGTAGGAAAGGAGCTGGGACTTGAGGTTGCTCACCTGGCTGCCATCCTCGCCAGCCCGGGCCACCAGCAAGGACTCGGCCTCGGTGATGAGCACCACCGCAGGCTGCCGGCAGCTGGCCACAAAGAAGACGGTCTGCAGGATCTTCTCAGCTTCGGCTTTCCACGTGGAGAGCAGGGTTGTCCCACTGAGCTTCAGCAAGGTGGAGCCCAGCTGGGTGGAGATGCACCGGCTCAGCAGGGTCTTCCCTGTGCCACGGGGACCAAACAGCAGGACGGTTCGGGGCGGCCGGTTCGCCCCAGTGTAGGCGCCGGGACGCAGGATGGGCCACACCAGCTCCTCCTCGATGATGGCCTTCACAGAGACCTGCCCAGCGATGTCCGTCCACTGCACAGGCGGCCCCCGCTCCACGATCTTGGTGTTCACCAGCTCCAGGACCAGGGGGTCGACATTCTTGGGTTGCTCCTCCACCGGTGGACTGCCAAAAACTGGGGCTTTGTGGGGCAGCCGCAGTGGGAAGGGGGGTCCCGGCTCAGCCGCCCGCTCCCCGTTGGCAAGGGGGGGGCTGAACTTCTCAAAGGGCTCTGCAGGCCGCAGTGGAGCATCCCCAGAACCGTAGGGCGGCGAGACCATACTCTTCATCGGCTGCCCACCATACTTGCCGGCGTGCTCCTCGGCGTTGCCAGCTCCTGCTGGCCGCTTCCCAGGCTTGAAGGCCACCTGGGGGGACTCGGCGCTGCCACCAAACCCGTTGCCCCGGCACTCGCCGTTGTCTGACATGGGGTAGGGGGACTTTGGCTGCTCGTAGCTGTATTTCCTGTACCTGCCCTCCGCTTCGTCCTCCCCGCCGGAGATGTCAAAAGCCTTCCTCTTCAGAGCGCCCGCTGCCTCGGTGCCCAGGGGCGGCACGGCCAGGGGGGCCAGGCCAGCACCCTGGTAGCTGTAGCTGGGGACCCCGGGGGGCCGGGCAGCGGGTGGCGGGGCCGGGATGGGGGTGGGTGCCGCGATGCCAGAGGGCAGGTAGGACGCAGAGGGATGGGGTGGGTGGATGGTCCCGTAGCCCGGTTGCGGGGGGTAGCTGCCGGTGCCGTAGTTGTACATGGAGCCGGAGGAGCCGTAGCCTGGCACCAGGGCGGGCGACGGGTGCGGGGGCTGAAGGAGCCCTGAGGGGTGTGGGGGTGGGAGCGCTGCCGCTGGCTGGGTGCAGTAGCCGGAGGGCAAGTAGGTGCCACCGTAGCCTGAGGAGTACTCCTGGGATGACCCAAGCCCGCCGGAGCCAGCGGTGGCCCCTCCACAGGAGTTCCCAGGGTACATGGGATCAGCGAGGTTGGCGGACACCACGGGGGAGCCGCCGAGCCCGATGGCCCCGCCACTGGGGGGGACGGCGGGTGGCACCACCCCCTTGGCGCTGGGGAGGCCATCGTGGATGGGGGTCAGGGGATAGGCACCGTCAGAGCCATGGGCCGCCGGCCAGGGCTCCCCATCCCCCTTCTGCCCGTTAACCGGCCCGAAGGCTCCATCCCCGTAGCCGCTCAGCGCCGGGCGCTCGTAGGGCGCCTCCAGCACCCCCGAGTACTTCTCAGCGTACCTCTTGAGGAGGTTGGAGGCGGTGAGCGCCGAGATGTCATCGTTGGCCCAGGCGTAGTTGAAGCGCTGGCGGGTGCTGGGGTAGAGGTCGGACTTGTGGGCTGGCGAGGAGGTGGTGGAGGAGACATCGAGGTGCTGCTCCGGCCACTGGTTCAGGGACTGGGCATGCTCTGGTGACCAGTGCATCTTCAACAGACCTGGGGGGGGACAGGACAGCACAGGGTGAGACCACTGAGACAGGGGTGAGCACCTCTCTGCATTGGGTATCTCCAAATCCATTGCCACCTCCTAGACCACATTGTCCCTCCTGACTGCAAACATGTGCTTTCCGTCACCCACCTGCCGTGCAAAAATCCCCTCAGCCACCCCCAGAAACAGCAACCAGCAGAGCTTCAGAGAACCCAGCCAGCTCAGGTTTTGATGGTCACATCATCCAACAGACTGAAATATTCAGGTTATCAAACCACAGCAAGCCAAGGCGACACAAATGGTGTGACCCCACCAGTGCCGCGGTGCCCAACGTGGGCACGCAGCACCAGAGCATCACCCTGCCCTGAGATGCTCCACCTGGAGCAGGGTGTAATCATATTAGAATTATAATGTGCATAATATTAATAGCATATTAATAGCATGCAGCCAGGTGGGCATGAAAATAGGGGCTGTGTTGCCCACACCTGGAGGTGGGAGCTGCCCTTTGCCGCGTCCCCCTGCCCACCCCCGGTGTCGGTGCCGGTACCGATGGGCTGCGTGTGGCCCCACCAGAGCACCTTCTCCAGCCAAGGGGAAGGCAGAAATGCCACGGCCGTGTCTGGACCCACCCCTGCACCAGGGCTGCGATGGTGGTGGGTGGAAAACGCATCTCGGGGGGGGTCTGCAGGACCTGCTGGGGATCCCCGCTCACCCCACAGACCCTCCGTCACCATCCCCCCGTGGCCTTGTCACCCCACGGACCCTGCATCACCATCCCTTGTCACCCCATGGACACCATCACCATCCCTTGTCACCCCACGGACCCTGCATCACCATCCCTTGTCACCCCACGGCTCCGCACCACGGGGATGCTGAGGTTGGTGTCACCCTCTCCCGCTCCAGCCCTTAAAAACCAGGCGGCCCCCGAGTGCCTGCAGAGGGGGGTGGGACCGTCCCCCATCACCCCTCCCCGTGAGGGTCCCCCTCTCCTCTCTGTCCCCCCCCCTTATGCCCAAAGCCCCAGGGGATGGCTGCAGCAGGGGCCGGAAGGGGACCTCGTGCACCATCCACTCGCCGCTCTCAGCCTTTAAGCCACTTTGTGACCACAGCACAATTAGATTACTTAATGCTTTAATTGACTTATATGGCATTTGTACTTCCACTTTGGATATCAAACTTACACAAGAGGATTTAAATGGCGACTTTGCGTGGCTTTATCCGGCATCCTCCCTGCATTTACTGGCCATTATTAAAGTGCTCCCGGTAGATAAGGGGTCGCAGAGGCGGCCGGCGCAGCCTGCGGGGAAGGGCCCCGTTTAATGAACACAAAGGCAAACGCTGCCCCATAAACACAAGCTCCTGCAGCAGCTTCTCCCCAACGCCGTCAGGCTGGGTGCAGAGGGACAGAGCCTTTTCCCAGCGAGCAAAAGGCACTGGGAAGCTGTGAGAGGGAAAAAGGAGGGTTTCAATGACTCCAGGAGGAATAAGATTTTTAATTTTTTTTTTTTTTTTTTTTAAGGGACTAAAACACCAGGAGTCTCCATCCTTGCAGTGGCACAGGGTGTGCTGCAGGCACAGACCACAGCTCCGTCCACTCCCCCAGAAAATACAGTCTGCAAATGCCTGGGGCTCAGGGAGGAGGAAGGGGGTTTGGGATGTGGCCCATTGCCCCAACCTCCGCCGTGGCACGGGGCTCGGCGCAGAGCAGCACAGCATGAACAAGGGGCCACCACCACAACCAGCAAATCTCAGTGGCTTTTCATAGAGCTACAGAATGGTTTGGACATTAAAGATCAACTCATTGATTGGAAGGGACATTAAAGATCAGCTCGTTCTACCCCCTGCCCTGGGCAGGGACACCTCCCACCACACCAGGTTGCTCCAAGCCCCCTCCAACCTGCCCTTGAACCCCTCCAGGGATGGGGCAGCCACAGCTTCTCTGGCCAACCTGGGCCAGGCTCTCACCACCCTCACACCAAACAAGTTCTTCCCCACATCTCAGCTCCATCTCCCCTCTTCCAGTGTCAAACCCTTCCCCCTCATCCCATCACTCCCCTCCCTGATCCAGAGTCCCTCCCCAGTTTTCCTGGAGCCGTTTGAGGGACTGGAAGAGGCTCGATGCTCTCCCCGGAGCCTTCTCTTCTCCAGGCTGAACCCCCCCAACTCTCAGCCTAGCAGAGGGCCTAGCAGAGGGCCTCCAGCCCTCCCAGCATCTCCATGGCCTCCTCTGGCCCCACTCCAGGCTGTTTCTTCTGAAGCCACCCTTGATGAGACACAGCCACCCTCACCGTCCCTCCTGGAGAAGGGAGGACCCAGCAGCCCATCGCCCAAGCAATGTCCTTTTTCTCCTGCAGTACAACACCCAACAGTGTGAGCTTTACACCCCCGGACACAACCCCTGCGTGGAGACACCCATGTCTTCAAGCAGCCCCCAGCTTTTTGCCATGGCAGGAACAGACAGCAACGCGTGAGCCCGGCCGCTCAGACGCCGGCTACTGGGTTGGAAGTGCAAAGAAGCACGGGGATGGGAACTGCTCTTCTAAGAGGGTGGCCGATGCTGTGGTGTGCTGCTGGAAGCCCACCACGATGGCAAAAGGGTGAAGCCTCTGTGAGAAGAGGGGCAGGGGGGATGCCCGGGCACGGGTTTGCTCCACCAAAGCAACCCCGAGCGCGAAAGGATGGAGGAGCGAACCCGCCTCCGTCCGCCCCCTTTAAAGACGAGATGCATTTGGGAGAAGAAAAGCCAAAAAACCCCCGGAAAGCCCAGTCGCACCCTGGAAAACCAGGCGGAGGGGGAGGGAGGGCGGGCGGGCAGGGAGAAGTTGTCAGGGTTTTGAAATGGGAGGTGAATGAGGCGGTGGAGCGGGACAGATGTTTCAATGCTCCCCTTGGCAGTGTGAGAAAATTACTGTCCAGTGACCAAATGGCCAGGCTGGTTCCCACCCTCGCTGCTGCCCATTATCCCCAGCGCAAGACAAAGGCGGGCAGGGGGGGCTGGGCAGGGGAGAATCCTATTGTTCCCGCCTGCCCTAATTATGGAAATCTTGTTAATCTATTCAGCAGCAACTCTGAACTGGGCTTTTGTTCGGGGGCTTTTTAGCGGGGCGCACCGCCGAGGGTGTCCAACGGCTCGGCATTGGGGATGGGGTGTGCTCCCCCCCAGCTGCTGCCCACCCCCCCCTTCCCTCTTCCCCGGGGAAAAGCTCTGGCCCAGCAGCATCCCAGCGCCGGCCGCCTTTGTTGGAGCAGAGACCTCATCCCCAGCCCTCGGACGCAGAGCTCGCGTGTACACACATGCTACACACCCATGTCCCGGCCCCATCCGTGCAGGAAAAGTCATGGCAAAACCTACGGGGGCGAAGAGGGAGATGACCCACAAGCAGCATCTGCTGATGGCTGCAGCGCCCCAGCATCCCTGGGGGTATCAGGAGAGGGCTCAAATATATTGGGAGGGCAAAGAATCACAGAATCACAGAATCTTCTGGGTTGGAAGGGACCTTAAAGATCATCTTGTCCAACCGTCAACCTGACTGACAAAAATAGACACCCACACAACAAACAAGGAGCATCATCACTAAACCAGACCTCCCAGCACCACATCAACCTGGCTTTTGAACACCTCCAGGGATGGTGCCTCAACCACCTCCCTGGGCAGCCCATTCCAAGGGCGGATAACCCTTTCAGTAAAAAAATTTTTCCTAATATCCAGCCTGAACCTCCCCTGGCGCAACTTGAGGCCATTTCCTCTTGTCCTGTCGCCTGTGACTTGAGAAAAGAGACCGACCCCCATCTCTCTACCCCCTCCTTTCAGGGAGTTGGAGGGAGCAATAAGGTCTCCCCTCAGCCTCCTCTTCTCCAGGCTGAAAAGAAGGAGAGGGGAGCACACAAGAGCAAACACGCTCCAGCTGAGGATGCTCTAAAACCAGGGTTTAAATCCAGCCGAGCCCCCCAGCCCCCCAGGTCATGCCAGATGTGGCACAGCGGAGCCCAGCAGCGGCTGCAGCCCTGTGGGCCCTGTGGTGCTGGACGTGTCTCCAGGACCCCTGGGACAGAGGTGTCTCCAGGACCCCTGGGACAGAGGGTCCCAGCCCTTGGGAGGGATCTGGCGCTGCCGCCCTTCGCTCCCGGCGCAGGAAGGAGCTGATGTCCCCACCATGCTGTGCTCGGCCTGCTGCCATCTTGCTGGTTTAAACACCGATGGCTCCTTTTTCTCCAGAGCCGCCAGCTTGGAGGATTTATGCCTTTTTCAAAAGACGTTGAGCTGTTTCATTATCCCTGCAGTTAACCCGCAGCGGTGTAGCCCAAAGCCATCGGCCTGCTGGGCAGGGAGACCTGTCCCAGTTCCCATCTCTGCCCAAATTCCCAGCTTTTTAATTCTCTGACGTGCAAACTTTGGGCCAAGAAAGAGCAAAGCTGGATGCTAAGAGTCTCCTTTCACAGCCCAGTCTTCCCCAAGGGGTCCCCACCGCCCTTGAAAGCCCTGCTAACATAGACCTCTCCTATCAGTGATGTTGTGTGTGATGGATCTTCTGGGCTGGACCTGCCAGCACTGGACCATGGGTCCAGCAAGGACCGGGACCAAGCACCCCGAGCAGGAATACAGTTTCCCATCGGTGCAACTCCTGCACTGATGGCTTTGCAGCTGGATCTGTGGCACCAAGAGATGCCACCAAGAGGCATCTGTGCCACCAAGAGGCCTCTTGTGCCACCAAGAGGCATCTGTGCAGAGATGCTGCAGGACTTGCAACATCTTCAAGGCTAAAGGCAAATTGGGAAAAAAATGCAGCAGGAGAGGAGAGACTCTTCCACATCCACTCAGTGAACGGGAAGCAGGGGAATGCCTTTTTCTTTTTTTAATGAGGCATTTCCTGATGGTCTTTTCAGCTTCTGCTGCCAGGAACTTGTCCTGGGCTGGGGTTCATCCCTGTCTCCGAAGAGCGGTGTAGGCAAAGTGCAATGGCATTACCACAAGTCAAATCACAGCTATAAATCAAAATTATAACCCATGCAGATTCTCCACTTACCACCTCCTGTGGACCTGGGTTGCGGCAATGTCTCTGAAACGCATTTTGATGTTTTAGCATTAATGCTGTAGATTATTACCATGTTGACACACACATTTAAGCTAGATACCACTAACCCCTAGTGATCCCTAGGACCCACAGTGGGTCCTGAATAGGCAAAACAGCCCAGCAGGGGTTTACAGCAGTGGAAGAACTGGTCCCAGAGGCAGGACCAGGGTAAGGGGGGCACAGAGCCACACTCAGAGGTGGCATGGCCCAAGCACCGTACCTGGCAGCATCTGCCAAGGGTGGGAGGTTTAAAACCCTCAGCCCTGCTGACCAGCCAGTTCTGGGGTGCAAACATCAACTTTCCCAAGGCAAATTTGGGTTGTTTGGCAAATCCACTGGGGAGCTGCAGTTCTTTGTCTGCTGCATTCCCCATCCCCTCCTAACCGGTGCCGACAAAGCGCAGGATGGTATTGCAATCAGAGCAGGGTCAATGTACATATGTTAAAAGGATTTAAGCTAACTCCCACTGTGCCCTCTCCCCACCCCCAGGAGAAACGGCCTCAGCACGAGCTGAGGGCTCCAGCATCCGCTCTGTCCACTCATATATCAAGTGCAAAGCAGCTGGACACCAGCACAGACCGGGAGTGACCAACGGGCCATCGCCCATCTGTCCTGCTCTAGGACCCGGCCAGCAAATGAAAAATTAATCTGGATCCGCTCAGCCTGGCAGCAGCTGAGCATCACCCATCTGTCACCACGAGAGAGAAACTCTCCAATAAAGGGCACCGGGAGGAAACTGTACATGGGAACCCCCAGATTGAGGAGATACGGCGATAAAATCTAGATATTACGAATAACGAGCTGATGCAGTTAGTGGATTGGAGGAATTTTGCTCCATCTTTCAATATATGATGGAAGGGATAAAAAGAAGCAATAAAAGGCACCTAAAAAAAAGTGAAAAAAAAAAAATCAGCCTCTTCGTTGCTATTTATTTTTTGAACATCACTTGTGCCTGGTCTCATAGACCACTCAGGCCTGCTGAGATCTGGGCTTCAGCCTCACATCCTCCCCAGGATCATGGCAAAAACCGCTGAACTACTTGTTGGGGTCTACAAACCCCTGAAAGGTGGGAATGCCCCAACCCTCCCTGCTCCTGCCACACCGCCTCCACTCCCTCCAGTGCTTCGAAGACAAACATTAATCCCAAAACATTAATTATCACACTAATCCATCACCATCTTTCCCATTCCCTGCCATAGGTGTGCTCCAGCACATG